GAGTCAGCCTGCCATGAAGTTTGTTAAAGCTCCATTGAATTTAAAAGGGGACCAAATATAGTAGGCAGGCAGGAGTTCACATCAATCTACCATACACAGCCACACACCCACACAATACGGTGTGGCCTAGTTGTTCTGCAAGGTTCAAGGTCACAAGTTCATGCCTTTCTGCTTATGGTAAGTGTTTTTCAAATAAGGACTAAAAACTAAAATAAAAACTAAAAAAGATCAGTATTTGTATCATTTGGTGAATAGATTTTTTTCATATTGATGCAAAGAAACAATAAAAAAAGAAAACTCAGGTATTAATTCCTCTTTTATTAGGATTCATAACAAAGGCGTAACTAGGGCAGAAACACAGGCTATTTCTGTATAATGTGTGTGTGTTCGTGTGGGTGTGTGACTGACACCTGCAACCATGGCTCAGTGGGCATACACACCTGCACCTAAGCACTGTGGTTTCAGTGGCTGGCACACACACACAGACACACAGTCAACTCGAGGCATGTAACTGATGGCCACTGAGGGACTGCTCATTCACACACACAAACACAGCAACATGAACCCACGGACGGTGAGAATATCCAATCCACCACTTGAGACGGATCCAGGTTGTGCGGTGAAGCAGGGATACTTCAGTGTAGGAGTTAAAATATTTCCATCAAAGTTACCAAACAAGCAGCTACAGTAATGATCTCCTCAAGCCTAAGATGCTTTGACGGCATCAAATAGACGTGCTTACCGCTAAACGTGTTTTGTTAGAAACCATTTCAGGAGGCAACCGGCGTGTTTGGTGTCTGTAGACATGTGTGTTCATGTCTTTTCACCTCATGAGCCAGAAAAAGGAGCTGATTGATTTCTTCCTCTCCTCCACACCTGTCCTGGAAAATAATGTTTAATTTAGGCTGCCACTGCCTGAATTATACCCAGCTTCCCCAAGGTGTCTTCACAAGTGTGTGTGTGTGTGCTTGTTAAGTCTGAATGATTGCGCGGCTGCCTTTGCGTAGGTGTGTGGGTTTCTTTGCTGTGTACGTGTTTGCATTTGTGTGTGTGTGTGTGCATCTGTGTGTGTTTGTTTCTCTGCTGGTTCTCGTCTTTCTCAAGGACGCGACCAACTCCTGCTTGTTTTTGTTCCTCTGGAAAAAAACAAGGGAACACTGTGCTGCTAGAGCTCCAGTCATGAGCAACAGCAGACAGGGAGCGATATGAGGGCAGATGAGAGCGGCTGCCAGCTTCTCTACAAACACTAATGACTAAATACATCCATCTTAACGATTCAGGGATTCTTCAGGATACAGAAAAGCAGAAAAAAGACAGAAAATAGCAAATAGGGACAGAAAAATGGAAGAAAAGATCTATAAAAGTGCTGTTTTGCCATTACATCTGTTTATCAATTTTACTGTACAAATGTTATAAAGGAGATATTGTTCTAAGACTGTTTTATTTGAACAATTTTAGTATCCAGTATCTGCACACATTGCAAAAACAGTTATTACAATTCATCCTGAGAGGAACATGACTGTCTGTATCAAATGTCATAGCAATCCATCCGATAGTTACTGAGACATTTCAATAAATACAGAGAATGTCAACCTCATGGTGGCACTAGAGGCAGTAGTTAGGGTCATCACCAAATGTCAGCAGGATCTATCCTCTAAGCCAATCTATGTGATAGCTGTTGATATATTTCTATGGAACCATGATGCTAGCACAATATTACACACAAGAAATAAGATTAAACTAAGTTTAATAAGTAAGTTAAGTAAGTACAATAAAAATATTAATCAGTTCTTTCCACACGGCATGATCAATGAAGGCATAGACAAGGCCAGGGACCCAATCAATACAATCTATATGATTCAGCAGCAGCTCCAAGATTCAACTCCAGAACTGCTTCTTTCTTTTTAATTAAATTATACTGTGATGTGATATCCGAAAGGTGGAACACAAATAGACTTAATTTAGTCACAAAGTAGTCTTTTTTTATTATTTCACACTACGGTTTGTGCACACTTGACATTTTCTTTTTCCTGCCTTCTTGTTGCCAACTTTTTTAAACAGTTTCACTTGATTTTACTCACAAAGACCCCACTAATTAAAAGCAGATGGTACAGTGTGGTGCTCCTGGACAAATGAGTGTATTTCATGGCATATGTTATGTTACTGGGTGTCTAAACCGAAAGCCTGCTCATAACATCAGCAAACGATGCCAGAGCAGTGTCTACCCATTAGTCAGTGCGAACACACACACTGTTTTGACTGTTTTTTGTCATTGTGCTTTCACTCACTCTCTGCTTTTCTTTTGTCTTTGGTTTAACACACCGCTGTCCATTATTTTCCCTGCCAACGGCATCAGTCAACATGCCAGACACATATATACACGCACACACACACACACACACACACGCACATCCTGTCATGTCATTCATGATGCTGTGTGACAGGCAGATTGACAGCAGACAACACAGAGCCATGGCTCACAGTCACTGTTTTCATTGTTTTGTTCCTTATTGATTTTGTCTCCAGTCCACACACTCTTCTCGAGTTAGTGCTTACTGACTTTCTGACATTTCTGCAGTGGCTGTCATCATCCACTGTGCAGAGTACCAAAGACTGTATGGCCACCCACAGCTCCAACACCATCATTAAGTTTGCTGACGACACAAACGTCGTCAGTCTGATCACCAACCACGATGAGACGGCCTACAGAGAGGAGGGCAGAGCCCAGACATCTTGGTGCCAGGACAACCATCTCACATCTCAGTGTCAGCAAAACTATGAAGATGATTATGGACTACAGGAAGTGAATGAGAGAACGACATGCCCCCATCACCATCAAGGGGACTACACTAGAGAGAGGCAGCAGCTTCAGGTTCCCGGGGTCCACACACTTGGCAGACAGAGGCTCACCATGGAATCCAGGATACTCTGTAACTTCTACAGGTACACAATTCAAAGTATCTTGACCGGCTGCATCCCCTCCTGGTACGGCAGTTGTGGTCAAAACTGTTCAGCACATCACCAGGATGAGGCAGCGGTGTAGGAAGGAGGCCAACAGCCACAAACTCTTCTGTCTGATGCAGTCTATATTATATTTAGAGTTGTTCTAATACCAGTATCTGCAATTTCTCCAAAATTGCCACAAATGTAGTATTGGGTATCGACAAGTACGTGTTTGTTTACAGATCCGATACCTTTTTCTTTTTTACAAGTCATGACCCACCCTACTCTGACAAAAGGGTTAACCTGAGCCAGGCCATACAACTATGATAGCAATCATAGCTTAGTAACAAAAAAAAAACATATATATACACATATATATGTGTGAACTAGCAGCCAACTCTGATTGTATGCTGTCTTATGTATAAAGCTTTTTGAAAAAAGCTTGAGTTTATCTGAATAGAGACATAAACTATCAGCACTTTGTTTTGTGTACTTCTAGTGTCAAACACTAACTGTATGTATCCTGTATTCTTTCCTACAATTATCACGATTAAAGAATATTGTCTACAACTAACCTGACTTTTCTTTGTGATAGTAAACTGAATATATTTGTGTTTAGGGCTTTTTTACTCAGGCCAAAGAAGCTACTTAAAGATGATGTCTACAGGAAATTGTGACAGGCCTTTTTTCACTGTTTTCTGAAATTCCATAGATCAAACAATTAATCAATTCTTTAAAAATTTGCTACCTGTACTACCTTTGCTAAAAGCAATTCAGTGCACTAAATAACGGATGCAAAAACATTAAACTAGTAACATGCCTCAAATTGCACAGTGTAAAGTTAATCAAAGTGCCCATAAGTGTGGATACCAAAATACTAAAACCGAGTAAACAAATGAGTCTTTCATCCCACTCTGTTCGTTTTTGTAGAGAGTGTGCAATCTGTTGATGAATCAAAGTAAAACGTGATATTGCTTCTGATCAATAAAACAAATGCACTACCATTGTGTTTATCCCCCTCAGGCCTGTAATTCTCCCTCTGGGAATGTTTGAGCATTTCTGAGAGACTATATAAAGGATTTCTTGCTTATTTGTTGGGAAGCTATGAAAAGCAATAGGACTAATTGCGCCACAGGAGCAGTGAAGAATGAATGAGTGACACAAACAGAGGGAGTGAAGAGAGGGCTGAGGGTGGTGGTTTCATCTTCACACCCTGAATGTACTCCCTCTCCTCCTTCCTTCCCTCCTTATGCTAATCACAATCTCTCCATCACTTTGTCAGCCGTCCTCCTCTCTCAAAGGTTACATTGCGGTTTCAGTGTGGTTTTTTAACCATCTGGTCACACATACCGTTACTGTAAATATATATATATATATATCATCGTAGTTTTATTCAGTGACGCTCTATCAGAAATCACGTTTTTGTTTTTGTTTTGTACACATGTATATCCACATATTAGAAAAAAAGAGTGACCCAGTGTCTACAAATAAGACATTAATACACCTCCATTTTAGAAATAAATTGCTGCCCTAACGTTGTTACCGGCAACAAAGACTTTTAATGCATAAGATTTCCGCCAACTCGAGTTGGCGGAAATCTGAGGATCTGATGAAACTCCTCACACAAAATTCACAACTGCCAGTCTTCTTGACCTCACTTTAACACCAATATTTTGCTAAAACATAATCACTTAATAAAGGGATAAAAACATGGGAAGTTAAGGTTCAGAAGTTCAAAAAGCCTGCCTCACACACTCTGATTTAAAAAGATGCTAAATGTTCTCCCGCTTTCTTTGAAATGACAGGAACTGGAATCAAAAGTCATAATTACTGGCACACACACACTCCTAGTTGTGCTCCAAAATATGAATAAAAAAGGAAAAGACTCTACACTCTAACACGTGTGAGGAGGACCTGGGGTGTCACATCCCTGCATGAAATGTAAACTGAT